ATGTTGCAGTGGTAGATCCTCGTCCGGAAGGTCACCTGCACACACAAAAAACCCTCCACGGTTAGAGAAAGGCAAGTCTGGAAGCCCCGGACATTCAGAAGAGAGGCTAAAAATAGAGTGTGTTTACGGGGGGAGACAAAACCTTACACAGTAATGTTTTAAAAAAGAGAAAATGAGATCAGTTTCGTTGGATTGGATTGAAACGGCAGACAGCAGCTGGTTAACATTTTAAATTAAAGTCCAGCACACTGTTTCAGAGTCCATTAGCAGGTTCTGACCTTTTCAGGAGCCATTAACAACTTGGAGGGCCTTTATCAACCCAACGCGTCGGGCTCAAACAACACAAAATGTTCACAAACCCCCCCCAAAAAGGCGGGAAAAAATATCCAAACGTACTATATATTTTTCTGTTTAAACGACTCAATCTTTAAAAACTACTTCATTCTGAAATGTTAATGTTTTTTTTATTTAATACTTTAACTCTTTAAAGAAACAGTATGCTTATAAAGCTTCACTGTTTGTATTTGTTTGCTTGTTTTCTTAAATGGGAAAATTAGTCCCTTTTTTTTTTACAGCATCCACTATCAAGAGCGCCCAAACTGTCCAGCGGTGGGGGCGGGGCGCCCTCTAGTGGCCAAAAGCTGGTACAGCTATCGCAAAGCCTCTTTTTCTTCGAGGTAATTCGCTTTTGTTAATCAGTTACGGGTCAGCCTTGAAAGCAGGTGAGTTATTTGACTGTAAAAACAAATGTGGGACGCCTCTGCTGGGATTCGGAGGTTTAATCAGCGGCGTGGACACATTTATTAAAGACAGGCGGCCTTTCACTGCCAAAATTAAAGCGCTTCCCTGCTGCTTCTGTGTCTACACCTCCTGCTTTCCCTCGGTAAAGACCACAATAACAGACCTGATGAGGTTTGTGTGATTTATCCCTCAAGAGATGAGCTTTGTTTTCATGACGGGGAGCACGGGCGGAATTAAGCTAGCCTTTATTTTTACAACGAAAGACAGAGAAAATGTCTGTGGGCCCCAAAAGCAAACAGATGGGCGCCCGCTAAGCTGCTCCGATGTAAAGCTGTTTAGGATCAGGTTATTGAGCCGCGGGTGAAAACGAGAGAGGTCTCGGTCACCTCCAGCTTTGGACACAAACACAAACACCTCATCGGAACCTGTGCCTCATCGGGGCATCAGTGGAGCTAGCCAGACAGGCTGAGTCAGGCGGGTTAAACGGAGTTCAGCGCGGTCAGCAGGCTTATGGGCGGTACGGCTCTCTACAGACCTTCGGGGGTTTGAAAGGGTAGTCTGGCGTGAAGGCGATGTCCAGGAAGAAGACCCCTCCCTCGTACACGGAGCCCGGCGGTCCCAGGATGGTGGACCTCCACTCATAGATGTTGTCTCCTTTTGGGCCAGCACTGCAGCGACAGAGCAATCCCCTCAGAAACCCGGCAATTCCCAACGCTAAGAGGGACCCGTGTGGGTCCTGGAGCAATTCCCAAAGCTAAGCAGGCCCCGTACGGGTCCTGGAGCGATTCCCAAAGCTAAGCGGGCCCCGTACGGGTCCTGGAGTAATTCCCAAAG